AACATACTGTATGTCATGCTGAGTTTCTCTCTCACACACTCCCCCCCCTGCCTGAAACGCCTCCATTGGACTCCTTTGTTTATTTTTGGACATCACTATACCACTGGCGTTTCTACAGGGAGTCCGCAGGGTCTTAAAAAGTATTAAAAGTTGATAAATTAATTTTGCGAAAATTGAGGCTATTAAAAAGTATTAAAAAGTATTTAGTATAAGTTTTCCAAGGTGTTACATTTTGTAGCTTGTTTTCAATAAGTATATAAATTGTCCAAAGAGGTTGTATTCTACAGTGTGCCTGAATGTAATCATTGCGTAGGTGTGTAGTGTGATTCTGTGTAGTTTATTTATGGCATCCCGTTGGATTTGACGTCATCTGAACAGGACATCGCACGCTCACTGCTTGATATCGCGAAGGTCCGTTTACGCCGGTTGTTAAACAACATCGTTATGGGGAAATGCAAGTTTGCGTCCAAATGGTTTGAAGATAAGGAGGAAGGACAATCAATACTGTATATAGTCAATGTGAGGTAAAGTGTGTCGCCAAGGTAACCGGTTAAAACTCAAAGTGGCGATGAGGTCTTAAAATGTATGGAAAGGGTCTTAAAAAAGGTCTTAAAAGGAATTACATCTGACTTCAGGATTCCTTCATATACCCTGTTCTATTGGCTAGCACTCCAGCACATTGTACGTGGTTGACCAATCACAACAGAGCCGGCCAGCTAACCAATCAGAGCAGATTGGGCTCTGGTTTCAGGCAGAGGGTGAAAAGAGGCATTATGAGAAAAATAAAGAGCTGTTTGAACATTAAAGCTCTGAGACATGTCACAGTAAAGACACAAAACATAATATGTCCTCTTTAAGTTATAAAGTTGTTCTTTACTGTAGGAGTTGCTGGAGTTTCAACCTCTACATTGAGATGACTGTCTTGATTGGTTTAGAGTTTGTTTCTGAATGGGAAAAACAGCAACAGCAGACCCATTGGAATAACAAAAAGATAGTTATGGTGGTGATTCAGACAACAGTGTTACTGCATTCACAACTAAGTCAATGTTTCTGTTTAGTTGAACCAATTGATGATACGCTCCTACTAGACTCCTGGTACTAGGATGGGATAAAAGCAGAGAACACATTTCACTGTGTGTGCTGTGTGCTCTGCACGTGTGACCATTAAAGAGGGTTTCATCCCTCCCAATATATATATAAAGCTTGTGGTAGATAGTTGTGGTGTGCCCTATTTTCTTGTTTCTTAGCATGCACTTTGGTCCTATTTTTAAAACGGTGCAAAATGTTACACAAGGCACCTTTAAAGTACACTGCTTACATGTTGTGTTGTCTTCAGATGTCTCGGTTCCTGGATTTGGCGGAGTTTGGAGAAGCTGCTCTCTACCTTCGTCTCACCAACTTAGAGCATCTGGCTGCTAAAGCCCAAGCTTATGATGGTATGTGTACATTCGTTTATACCTCTATCTTTGTGTATCCATATAATATATGTGTTGCATATGCTGAGCAATGAAAACAAAAAACGGTATTTGTCATTTTCCAGGTACGAAGCGTAGTTGGCTGCCTGATGATGTGGAAGCGTACGTGGAGGTGGAGATCAAAGAGCTGAATGGAGACAAATCCACTGTGGAGACAAAGGACGGACGGGTCAGTTAGACAATTACTGGTGTCATTTACCCATAAGACTGTTTTTCAATGACATTTCAATTCCTTATTTCGTTTATAAGTTATACCAGTACCAGTACCAGTTTGGTTTGAACCATCCATTCACTTTACATTCCTAATCTGACTTTACTAATTGTTTACATGCTTAGAACACCAATACTAGAATTTTGTGTCAAAGAAGAAGTCATATTAAGATCTTTGACACAAAATAAGACCTGTCGCGTCAATATTTTTGATGTAAATGTACCAATTGGGACATAAACAGATCTCTTGGATCTCTGTAGCGCTGTTACTCTGATGAACATTTAAAACTCTGTTAAATGTGTTTATGTTTTAGTTTCTGGTGGTAAAAGAAGACGCCCTCCAGCCAACGAACCCTCCGAAGTTTGACATGATGGAGGACATGGCCATGTTGACTCACCTGAACGAAGCGTCTGTGCTGTTCAACATGAGGAGGAGATACAGCATGTGGATGGTCTACGTTAGTACTATTATGAATACACACAAAACACCACAGGGATTAGCGCAAACTACTCTCATGTTTATCAAAATGTTTTCTTCCCATCCTCTCTTCATCTCTCATTTCTCACCGTCTTTGTTCCAGACGTACTCCGGTCTGTTCTGTGTGGCGGTCAATCCGTACAAATGGCTGCCAGTCTACTCCACTCAGGTGATCGCAGCGTATAAAGGGAGGCGTCGTCTTGAAACACCGCCACACATCTACGCCGTCGCTGACAACGCCTACACCGACCTGCTGAAGAGTGAGTGTCCTGTGACCTCTGACCTCTAACATTAACCTGCTATCAGTATTTCATTAATCAACTGTCCTGGTGAGATATAGGCTAACTTGCCTTACACCCCATTGTTAGTGTTTCTACTGTTAGATACTTTGGCACTATTCAAATGTCCAAGTTGTTTCATAGAGTTCATTCATTCATTTCTATTGCCAAATTGTAAAACTTATTTTAATTCCAGGCTAACTAGAATTAAAACTAGTTTGTCAATGCAACTCAAAATCCATGATATCACTGTTACATTTGAGTTTATGTAAAGTACTGTGGTATCAATTGAGTACAAATGAAACTCTCTCCAAGACAGAAAACATGCATCACCTAAATTGTAAAAATGTTAAATACAGAGCTAGATGTCTGCTCCTCTGGTCCTAAGTCTCCTAAGATGGCTGAACTAAAAAACAACACTTTAAAGTTTTTTGAACCTTTCAGTAATAACAATATTTTCAGCTACTCATCTTTCTAAATGTTACTCCACAGATCGTGAGAACCAGTCGATGTTGATCACGTAAGTATAGGCATTTTTTTGCAACAAATGCAACGTCATAAAATCAAAATATAAACCACACAACATAAAGAAAACCTTAATCAGCGTTGTGTTGTTATTTGATCTGACTCTTGTTGCTTCCTCCTGTCAGTGGTGAATCAGGCGCAGGGAAAACAGTCAACACCAAGAGGGTGATTCAGTACTTTGCCATCGTTGCTGCTCTGGGAGAAAATCTGAAAAAAGGAGTAGGTCAACTTTATCTGTAAACTAATGTTATTTTAAAAGATGTAATGTGTCTCATAAGTGCAGTGTATAAGCTTCTCTCTCTGTGTGTCTAGGGGTCTTTAGAGGACCAGATCATTGAAGCTAATCCCGCCATGGAGTCGTTCGGTAACGCCAAAACCATCCGCAACGACAACTCCTCTCGCTTTGTGAGTTTCAAATCTTAAAGGCCGAGGCTGAAGCTGAGGGGGACGTGTTGTGTGACAAAGACTTGGTTTCTGTGTTTGTGCGTCTCAGGGAAAGTTCATCAGAATTCATTTTGGACCGACGGGAAAGCTGGCATCTGCTGACATCAACATCTGTGAGTAGGATTTGTCAGATTCCCTACAACTGTCCTTGCTTGCTTGAAATTTGAAGTCTGATAATGAAAGTATTTACATTTAGTCAGCACACTTTAAGCTGTGTTTGCCATTATACCTTAGAAAAGTTATTCCATTATTCTTTTTACTTGTATTCAATAGTAGCGTGGCACAGTCCACTTGAGTAAGTGTATTTATGTGTGTGTTCGTTAGATCTTCTGGAAAAGTCCAGAGTTGTGTTCCAGCAGTCAGAAGAGAGAAGCTACCACATCTACTACCAGATCCTGTCCAATCGGAAACCAGAACTAATAGGTAAAGATTCACATCAATCAATATCAGTGCATGTATCCAATATATGTCTTACACTATGCATGATAACCTGTCTACTCTCTGCTTATCTGCATAGCTAAGAGCTATTATTCAATGCTAGATAATAATTTGTCTGTCCTGTGTTTCAGACATGCTGCTGGTGACCACGAACGCCCACGATTACCACTTCTGCTCCCAGGGTGTGACCACAGTAGAAGGCATTGACGATGGAGAGGAGCTGAAACTCACTGATGTAAGAAACACACTCAGGAACTCGTGAAAAACACACACACACACACACACACACACACACACACACACACACACACACACACACACACACACACACAAATCCTTTACTCAAGTAGAAGTACATACAGATACTCGTGTTTAAAAATACTCTGGTGAAAGTAGAAGTACTGACTAAACTTCTTTACTCAAGTCAAAGTAAAGAGGGCTTTGAAATGTACTTCAGTAAAAAGTACCCATAACTACCATCTGTTTTAAAGAGTACCTGACCTCCCTTTATATTTATAGAACAATAATGTCATTGTTAGCTAATGAATGTTTCCATGCTGAACAACGGCAACATGACAACGTTTTCATTGGTCCCTCTTCTTTAGAGAAGACCAGGAAATTATGGATACACGGATCGTGTTCAAATCAATAGGCACGCAATGACTCTAAATAATAATGATCACGCCACCAAACACACATTCAAACTAAAGGAACCAGCCTGTTTGGAAAATGTAAGAAGTAGAAAGTACAGGTATTTGTGTTAAAAATGTAAGAAGTAGAAAGTACAGGTATTTGTGTTCAAAATGTAAGAAGTAGAAAGTACAGGTATTTGTGTTAAAAATGTGAGAAGTAGAAAGTACAGGTATTTGTGTTCAACATGTAAGAAGTAGAAAGTACAGGTATTTGTGTTCAACATGTAAGAAGTAGAAAGTACAGGTATTTGGGTTCAAAATGTAAGAAGTAGAAAGTACAGGTATTTGGGTTCAAAATGTAAGAAGTAGAAAGTACAGGTATTTGGGTTCAAAATGTAAGAAGTAGAAAGTACAGGTATTTGGGTTCAAAATGTAAGAAGTAAATGTAAAAAGTCATCAGAAAAATACTGTAAGTAGTGGAGCAAAGTACTGATACCAGAACAATTTACTTAAGTACACTAGTGAAGTATTGGTACTCCACTACTTCCCACCTCTGCTGTTCTCTACTATAACCTCATGTGTGTGTAGCACGCCATGGACACGCTGGGTTTCACTCCGGAGGAGAAGTACGGCTGCTATAAGACCGTTGGAGCCATCATGCACTTTGGAAACATGAAGTTCAAGAAGAGGCCGAGAGAGGAGCAGGCCGATGCCGACGGCACCGAGAGTAAGACACACGTTCACACATTGTGAATATCAGATATAACTCCAGCTAATGCTTAGTAAAGTATGAAAACCTGTCATTTTCACAAAGATACAACAATCATTTTGTGACAGAGAAAGCAGATATATAACAAGGCAAAGTATCTTTGTTTATAAAGTACATTTCGAATTAAGTAAACTAAATGATTACAAAGAAAGCATAAGAATAACATTTAAAAACAATAAGCAATACAAGTTCAAATGTGCTCTGGATCTTTGCGTGGCCAGATATTGGAGGAATTTGTAACAGTTAAGTTATATTTAGACTCAGATATAGACAGATATCCATTTCAAATGATTAGAAACCTGTTACTGATTTCAAGGCAAGCCAATTATTTGCTTTTTGATACGTTTCATTTATGCATTAATGGGTACTAATGGCAGATGAGATGATATGTGTGTGTTGTGTGTGTGTTAAGGTGTGGATAAAGCAGCCTATCTGATGGGCATCAGCTCTGCGGAGCTGCTGAAAGGCCTGCTGAACCCCCGCGTCAAAGTTGGACACGAGTACATCGTTAAAGGGCAGACTGTAGAACAGGTATCAATCAAATAATACGTCTATTGTGTCTCTTCTGTACTATATTAATAGGTATTGGTATTTTTTTTTTTTCTATCATTGACTTTTCTCATTGCTTTTTCTGTGTAGGTCTACTATGCAGTGGCAGCCCTAGCCAAAGCCACCTATGACCGTATGTTTAAGTGGTTGGTGGGGCGCATTAACATGTCCTTATACACCGCTCTGCCTCGCCAGTACTTCATCGGAGTTCTCGACATCGCCGGCTTTGAGATCTTTGAGGTAAAGAGGAGAGAGTGACACATAGATCTAGTCAAGATCCAACAATTGTGTCTACCTGCCTCGAGTCTTTGTGCTTTGCTAAACATATCCTGGACCTATCTCTGTAGAATAGTTGCATCGATCCAACTAAGAGATTCATCCATTTTTAACTTGGTAGTTTATCAAGTTTAGCATTGTTGCTCAGTTAGCTTCAGTGACCTTCCCAGGAAGATAACTTAAGCCTGGGTCAAAAATTAGATAAAGAAAACCAATACATAAAAAAATAGATCTGTTAAAACCATTTTCTGCAGTTTTCTTTTGTATCGGGTTAGGGTTAACTGAACATTTTCTGAATGGGGAAGTTGGGGTTTCTTGGACATCTGCTTTAAATATTTATAAGATCTCTGCTTTATCTCTTTCTGCCTGTGATACAAAGCCACATAACTGTTGTCTCTGTTTCTGCAGTTCAATAACTTTGAGCAGCTGTGTATCAACTACACCAACGAGAAGCTGCAGCAGTATTTCAACCACCACATGTTCATCATGGAGCAGGAGGAGTACAAGATGGAGGGCATCGAGTGGACCTGAGTGATCGAGAGGAAGACGAGGAGTTAGTCAGAGCGGCGAGAGATGCGTGGTTGTGTTGATTCCCTTCAAGGGTTCCGAGACAGGAACCTCGGATAGGTAAAGTCCTAAATGTACGGGGGGTAATCGATGTAAAATTCTATTAGTTGTAAAAAGAATATATATAATAACGCCTACAAAATTTCAAATGTATTCTGACTCAATCCAGGTTTTAATTCGTTAGTAGATTAAAACGTCTCAAGTTTGTATTATTATAATATTTCATGATTGCTTATGGTCTGTTATATTTAATATGTTTTCAAAACTACTAATCTTATGTATTATATATTTTTTAAACGTGTTTGAGATATGTATCTAGTTGTCTACTTTGAATCGATTTTATGGTTTATAAATTCTAATTAGTCGCTCTACCGTTTGGTCAGACCGGTCAAGATTAACCACGGAAATTGATTCGTTTCAGGGGCCAAGATTGTCCCTACTTCTTGATTATCTGTTTATGAGTGGGTGAGGCTCGTATACCTGTTGGAGTTTGCACCGTTGAGGTATAAACCGAAGACAGCCGCGCTGCGTCCTTCAACCCGCGTGGAGGGCCACTACCAAGGCAGCATGTCAAAACCAAAACTTCGACGAACAGGCACCGGAACCCCTTGTATGTGAGGAGGAGTTCTGACCTTTCTTATGCGGACCCGACTTTTTAGAGGAGTAAATGTTGTACACTAACATAAGACACTGGCAGTACGTCTATAGTAAGTGAGCACTGAAGAGAACATGTAGCGGGTAGCTTATTGTTTGGATGGGATAGCCTACAGTTGTATGAAGGGAAATGTTTTCTGTTAGCTCTCATTCGAAGTTCGTTTTTGTGTGTCCCGCTGGTGGGCAAGATACTCCAGTTACGTCCGGACATCAGGTTCTGGCTT